TAGATAGTTATAAGTGAAAGTTCATTAGAGTTTCATTCAAATTACAAAGTTAACAAATAGTTTATCATGTACCATCGTTACGGTCGAAACTCAAATCATTTGTATATACAAACTTCAATAATAACGTGATCAGACATTTCTAATAACACTAAACATTGATTGAATGTAAACAATCTATTAAAGTTTTATTATAGTTTTAAAGTCTTAATTGAGGTCTATTGGTTCATAGAAAAAAAATTGATTACAATATTTATCAGTAAAATTACAATAAACATTTAGAATGCTAAGCTAATATTTTAATTTAACCAACTTAGCTCCGAAACCCTTTTATTCATAGACTGAAAGCTTGAGTGCACAAGTTTAACAACTTATTAGGTTACTTTAGTACTTGACACTATGTACTTCATATTTCCTTTATTGTAGTACGTACATATTAAGGATGAATAAATCTCTAGTAAAAGCTAAAATTATATGGAATCTCTTCAAAGAACTGCTCATTTATAACTTTTAAAGTATTCTTCAAAAAATAAAGTAGTTCTTAATCATTTTTTTTTGTTTTCAAAGACTCATTTGTTACAATTGAAATTAGTGTCAAACTAAATTAAGAGACGAGTAAATGCAGACACAAAAAACAATCGTGGACAAGCAATTCTTAGACAAATATGCACAGACTATTGCGTCTAGAACCTTACGATTTCGACAATAACATGTTGATACCTTGTTTTGGCTCTACCGTAGGCGATACTAATACACTGCTCCATCCCTTCCAGTTCCAAGTCAGAATTCGGAAATAAAACTATTCGGATTCTACCTTCTTTCAGAATATCAAATTGACTTAACTACAGCCAAAAGGGAGACTTGTCTCAACTTAGTTAATTTAGCTTATACGAATGAGAATTTGACTAGCACACATGAACTCATCTTCATCATCTTGTTAGAGATTTAGAGTGTAAGCTTATGACTGATAGCCATCATATGTCTCGAAGCTCGCAACCGTGTATTGTTTCTGGGTACATTTTTACACAAGAAATGGAGCAAAAGCGTCATTAATCGCAAGATACCCATTAAGAACTCAGTGTAGATAAATTATTGCCTCATAATATTATATTTTTTATAGAGCAAGTGGTTCCGTATATGATAAGGTTGTAATGACATTGCATTTATTAGATGGCAATAATAAAAAAAAATATTCGAAATAAGCTCAAAAATTAATGAAAAGAGGTAACAAAACATAATTTAGATTTATTTTTCAAGTAGTCCAAAACAAAAATAATTTTTCGATTCTACTTTCATATGTTATACATTTTAATACAGTAGACAAAGATTTTTCTTGTGCTCGTTTTTATATTATTGAAAAACTCAGAATTTTTGCTTATATTTTTGATTGATCGTTATTTCCTTAAACATAACTTCTTACCATAGCAAGGTTTTTTAAAGCCCTTTTGATTCCTAGCTTGCTATCAAAAAAAGTCTGATATAGAATTAGAATATTTTTCTTATATTCTTTTTCTAAGCCGTATATATAATTGAATAGCGAAATTTACATTTACCAAATTATTTTTTATAATTTGGCGTGACTTAAAAAGTTTAAATATAAAATATTTATATTTTGGATATTATATTTTCATATTTATTTTAAGTAATCGTTTATCTTTGTTTTTTGTGAGTTCAATATTTAGACGTAGTATTTTAAATAACAAGTATACTATAATTATGCCAAATATACATACTAAATACATACGTATACCTTTAGGTACTTTAGATAAGAAACCCCATTTTTCTCATGAAGCTACCAGAGGCTACAAAGTACTAAATTATGCTTCTTGTCTTTGAGTGCAAATTATTGACTAAAATCAAAATATATTTGGGATTTTATTTCATATTTATTGACTACTACATGCATTGACATATTATTTGTGGTTCATCTATCTAAATTCATTTGATATTTTAAGCTCAATGCCAATTATAAATTAAAATCCGACAAAAATCAGCTATTTCAAAAATACTAATAAAGTGGAAAAGTACAAGGAAAAAATATAATTTTACAGCAGTTAAATTTATAGCCGCTATAAAGTATAACGCCGTTCTACATTAATTAAACCAACTTCAGACGTTTATTGTGCTCTAAGAATCAAAAACACAGTGATATTAAAAGTTATGGTACAATTTAACATTTATGTTTTACGTTGTTACATTTAAATTGATGTAATAGAATAAAATGTTCACCTAGATCTTAATTTATTTTAATATTTTTATTATCTCTCTATCTACTGTATATAGATCTGTCTGTCTGCTCATGAAAATGATAAAAAAATGTATGCTATTTATAATAGAAAGGGGTTCAAATTATCAAGGCGTGACTTATACTTTTATATTTCAGTATTAATTGCTTTCATTTTGTATCAGTAAGCAAGCTGACATACTCATACAAAATGAAAGCAATTAAAATGAATCTGATTTAGCCTATATTTTTCTAAATATGCTATGCGTACTTTATTATTGTAAAAACTATATACTTCCGACGTTTCAGTTACTTTTCAGCAACCGTGATTACAACGTGATTATGAATGAATGTTTAATTTAAATGAAAAATCTCGAAAGTCATTAATTTCATGAATCTAAGATATAATCTTTATTTACATACATATATCTCGGAGCAGATTAAAGATCCACACAAGAAAATATAAAGCAGTAATCATTATAACCATATTCTGTTCTACGACGACACATTTTATTTAGGTCATTGACTACAAACATTGAAATATATGTTATTAAATTAGTCTAAATGTAATACATATGCCGAACGTATTTCTGATCGTGGCTAAAAATAAATATTTTGAAACTTTTCTGTATAAACTACAAAGACAAACTGACTGGAAATCATAATTACTGAAATTTCCTTAAAATTTCATATACAAGAATGAAGTAACGCCAATACTTACATCTGAACTTTCACAAGATTATTCCAAAGTCAAGTATTCTTCATGCTTGAGTGTTGATTTTTTATATAATAGTAATTATTAAGATAATATATATATCATGGTCTAGTTCAAACAAATTAATCAAATGAAGCAGTCCTACTTGTACCTTTCTATTTAATGTTATAACGATATTTAGAAGACAATTTTCAATATATATATATTTTTTATTTGAGGATATAACAATAAAAATATAAATATTTAGCAAGAGATAAAAAAGTATTTTGGATAATGAAATTTATTCAAATAGACAAAAAAGTGTTATTTTTTTATAAATAAAAATAAATACTTTTTATTCGAATTTGTGTTACTTATCGTAAGTGTATTAATTTATTTATATTTTTAATTTGGAAACATAGTTTATTTATTTTAATTGTAATAACTATTACTTTCGCTGTTATTCATTAACTATTACGTTACATCAAAGGAGTTTAGTTTTATTATCTTTAAAATTTTTTCTACAATTGAAATAAGACTTTAATCAAAAATTCAAATTTTATTTTATTGCCATTGGAACAAATAATAAACTCTAACATTAATATTTTCATCAGCCATTTAAAAAAATTTAATAATTTCTCAAGTTTTCTTTTCATTAAGTGAAATATGAGAAAGATGCTTTTATATTATTATAATTATCTATGTGTCTTTCATAAACTCCAAGTTCAATATAACCTTAAGTAGAATACTGAGTTCTAAGATCTTGTTGAAGCTTGTTTCGTGAAAAAGCATTATTGTGTCAAACATGAAAGTAAACTATCGGAGTGATTTTCAATAAAGAAAATACAAAATTAAATATAAATTCCATATATAATAATGAATCAGGAAATTTAGCATGTTAATGTAATTAATGTATGTTTATAAGATAATAAAAATTATCAAAGGTTTTCAATTAAGTACGAGTAGCTAATTTTAATGATGTTGTTCTTTGATTACAAAATTATATTTACCCTGGAATTGAAGAATAAATGGTTCGATAAATAATTTTTATAACATATATTTATTTCCATCCATAACTATGTCCTAAGTAACATATTTCTTCTCTATGTATTACAATTTAAACTTACCAACCGCCTGTAATTCCACTACCTTCTCCTAATCTCATTAATGCAAAGTATCCAATTCAAGTATTTTACACAGTTTCGGGTAAGTAATATAAACGTCATAAAATGTACCACAAAAGGAAATTAGCATATTGAAGATGCAAAAAGGCTGAATGTTACAAAATTATGCGAGCTATCTGAAACATGACCAACTTTTATAGGGATACATTGTTTAGAATGATATAAAAAACTTTGGACAGTGAAAAGGTTGAAAAAAGATAGAATAAAGCTGAACACTTGTTTACCGTTTTTTTGTTTTTTCACTGAAATTTGAAGTTTTTTGTTCACATTTTCACCAGTTGATGTCACAAAACATCTAAAATACATCAATTTAAGTTTATCTACAACACCAATATTTTAGCGTTTTGAATTATACAATCAAAACAATATTATGAATAAATAAATTCACAATAATTTATACAATCTAAATATCAATTTGTAATACATCAACATATCCATACACCAGCTTTGTATAAAAGCATTGCAACTAACTATTTACACATATACACAAAATTAACTGCTTAACCTTCTAAACAATTGATATAACGTATTAAAATGGCTTTTAATAAAAAAATTCATATATACATAACTCAATTTGCTTATTTTGAAAATTATAGAACAATGTTACCTCTACAGACCGCTCTTCCAGAGGTAAAATATTATTAGTAACTTTTTTATTCGTTTCATTGACATTTACAATACACATCATATTTATTAATTTTTTTAGAATTTTTAAACACAGCATTTAATTTAATTCAAAATTGGGATGTCTCTTATCCATAAATTCACTACTAGAAAGCGTTCATACTAATACAGTCTTATTCTGCAAGCTCCCAATCCATTCTTAGTGTCCTAATATAAGAAAATTTCATTTCATACATTTCAGATATTACTCTGCAAAATGAAAGTTTTCCTTACAACGTTAAACGTATGTAGTTTGTAGTTCAGTATGAGAACCAGCTCGTGGTGCGGGTGTACATTTATTCCACATTATTTGACGGAATGTAGTTCTGAACTGTTTGGACATTGAACAGTATAGAACAAAGTTAATAGCTCCATTAAGTAGAGCCAGTGCATCCATCAACTCTCCGAAGAGATCGTAGCAACGCTTGAAAAAGCACCTGCCCAAAGTTCCACTCATCAGACCTGCGATAATACAAGAAAAAGAAACATATAAATATGGCTTTATATACATAATAAGTCATGTAACATTCTAATCTTTCTTTATTCAGAATCTTAATATTAGTAAAATATTTCATATCAATTTTTATAACTCATTTCTGAGTTCATTCATAATAAAAATCCTTTCGAACTAGTTACGGCTTTATGAAACTGAATACGATTCTCCATTTGCCGTAAGAAGTAATTTAAGCATTCCCCACATAGTTTTCCCGGAGGATATATTCGGAGTTTCAACAAGAGAATAAAAAGTAAAAGCGTGTTGTCTTGGGGCTTACGAGACTTAAGAGTTATTGCAACAAGCTAGAATGTTTATAAATTAGTTAATACTATTTTCGCTGCCCTATACATAACGGATTTAATTTAATAAAATAAATACGATCAAAACTCATATAAAATTCAAAACCAATTTCCTTTTTAACCTTTGACATATGCATTTATTGAAAACTATTTTAAAAGTAGTGTTAGTTCAAAAAAGAAGAATGTATAAAAAAATTCAATATTTGCCTAATTTTTTAAAATATGTTGTATGAACTTTTATAATAAACCATTTTTTGTTTAGTTTATAAGCCCATATCTTTAGTAAATATGATACATTCATTATAAGTAGACAGTTAGACGCATATCCAAAAAATGCGAAGATTTATATCAAACTAAAGAAAGAAAAATCGAACGACAGAAATTATATGTATTATAAAGTAAACATCACTGAAGATAAAATTCAGTCATTTATAGTATTCTGTACGACTGTGTAAATAAACCAGGAAATGAAAAGACGTCTTAATATGTCTAATAGTACATACTTTGAATTGTTGTTTCTATTATTGTTATATTTTATTCGTAATAATGTTTCTAAATTTTTTAAAAGATATATATATTTTATTTTTTTTACCTTAAATTTCGTATAACATAAGGTTTCGTATTCGTTTATATAGTATATTTGTAGTTTGTAACTATGTACTGTAGTGTTTATTTGTTGTGTATCAAATTTTATCAATCAAGAATGTACGTACCTAAAATTCCTTGTGGGAATTCAGTAAGAAGAAACAGAAGTAAAACTGCGACCAGCATTTTCGTAGTGCGATCAGTTCTTCGCTCAGCTTTTGATCTCTTTGTAGGTTTCCTTGTGAAAACATTTCCATTACCATTGACGACTGTGCTCGCCGGACAAGCACTGTAACCTTTTAATGCTCTTTTTCTACTATTAGCTCTATATAAAACTCGTATCAACCATGCACTTATCACCGTCAGGATAACACACGGCAGTAACTTGATCACCACCGCGTGAACCCAGAAGTTGATCTGGTAAAGTTTGCCGTCGTAATTGGAATCCACGTAATAAACTTTGGACGGTGGACGATCAAAGGTGTAGTCTTCGTGTATCGTAAACACCTGAAATCAATAAAAACTTTCATTCTAGAGAACAAAGAAAATAATATATGGCTTATTCACTGTAAAATATTTAAAAATTGAATGATTAATCAAAATTCTTTCGTAACATGAGGCAGTATAAACTGTTTTCCCTTACTTGGAATATTCAATGATACTGAATTTTTCAAATAAACGTTTTAAGGATATCGATTAAGATGATTCAATTGTAAATTTAAATTTAAAGTTAAATAATATAGATCAGAAAATAGACAGAATCGATTAATTTAAGGTGTGAATGGGACAGCCTTGGCCGACAAAACGAGTTTCATTAATGGCTGTACACCACACGATTCCTATAATCAATCACTGGGGCTAAATCCACTTATTTGTTTGAAATTAAATTCGGTTTTCTCTTACACTTAGACAACATTGTTATTCACATTGTATGGAAGAGCTCCTTAATCATATATAAACATGATTAAAAATCGATGTTTCTGTATCTCTCTGTAATAAATATTATTATGAAAAAAATTCTTGATAATATATCTTCATTTACTACTACTCTCAATATTAAAATGTTATTTAAGTATATATAATAACAACCATATTCGATTTGTGGCTTCGATATAGCTTTTATATACAAATCAAATTACTGGAGTAAGTATGTACCAGTTACAAAATTAAAATTTTCCGATCATCTAATCTAAACGATGCCTATTTTAATGAAAACATGTTCAATCATTTAAGTATTGGACATAAACTTATTTATTTTCAATTTAATACATTATCTTGCAAGAGAAAAGAATATTATGTAAGAACTTTAAATACAACTTACGAGTACATGTATGAATTAATTATGTTAATATACATTAAGTTGAACCCAAGAGATTGTGATCTGAGCTCCGACGAACATAAAGCGGAGAACCTACAAAGGTTTTAATTCGGGTTTCCAATTCAGCGTCTTTTTATTTCTTCTTTCTAAGCATTCTAACAAAGTGTGAAATTGTTCCAGTAATTGTAGTAGGAATCTGATATCTTTATCAACTGAATTACGTATTTTGTTAAGCTGTGATTTATTATACAGTGATTTTTGAATCACCGTAAATGCAAATATATCAAAATCTATTTGAAAATTTAAACCATGAATTTAGATGAACATTAATAATAATAATTAATTTGTATCAATATTAATAATTCGACTTATCGTGAACATTACGTATGTAATGTAAATATGTGAATGTTCTTATCAATAAAGTTTAGTATACTTACAAAGTAAGATGGAACGCATAGTATTGGAGGTAGTAGGAAGCTAGTCATGATAGCGATTGAACAACGTCGCTCTGTGCACCACGAGGCTCCGTGAGATGGGTATCTAGGATTTACATAACAATCAATAAATTACACAGAGATGTAAATTTGAATGAAGAAATGAACTATAGAAATCATTCTAGCAGTTTTATTTGAATACGGATTCATTTACTACGATGAATTTAAGAATAAAAAAATTACGTAACAAAATTTGTATGTATCAAATAAAATATTGTTATATTTCATTTATTTGATTGTTGGTTTAAAAGCAAACAATTAAAATAAATAGCTGGCTAAAGTTACTTGAAACTACAAAAAAGCTATGAAACAGTATCTCTATTATTTATTATTACAAATAAATATAAATACTATTATACCGTGCATTTATGAAAAACAAATTATTATATAAATAAATGAAAAACGGAAATTATTTTATTCTAAATAATAGATAATTAATAGAAATTACAAAACTGTAACTACTTTTTATTTATCTCTGTTTCTTAGTCTTTATAATATTTATTTCTTTGAATAAAGTTATTACAGCAAAGCATTAAGTGAGTTGAAAATAATGATTGGTTAGTAGAACTGCAGTTCCGTTTAAAATTTCTTTGGAAGAACCCTAATGAACTAAGGCGAGACCGTGCGTTATCCGGATCTATAGCATTGTACTGAAAGGAGCTTCAACAGTACCTAGGACTTGCAACTCAGGTGTAAGTGTAAGGGACCTCCACCGTCCAAGCTCCTCTCTCTACCTAACCAAATTTGATATAACTAAAGTTTAAAATTTGCAATGAATAATTTTGTTGTCTCCTTCTTTCGACTAACTCCTCACTATTTTTTTTTTCATTGAAAAGTATTTTAATTCAGTGTAAAATTATTTCTAAGACAATTAATTATTCCTCCTTTCATAGAAAAATTAACAAGTATAATGTTTTATAAAAAAAAATTAAGGAACGATTTATATATTATCAATCTTTGTGAATACTTCTAAGTAATATAGCAGTTCTCGAGCTTTGGAACTTTCTAATTGACACATTCTTGACACAACTTTGTCCGCCATGAATGGTCCTTACAAATTTTATATGAAAATAAGTTAGCTTAATTGTTTAATTTATACTGTCAAGAATATAGAGGAAGATATTTCGATATTCATGAACAATCAAAACTTATAACAAGGTATGAAATAAATCTACCTCTATGAATTTAATTTGATTTGATTTGGTACAAATTCATACCATTTCTACGTATGGTAACTGTTTACAGAATAATTGTAAAGTTTTCGGATATTGTAATTTCAGAAAACTTTGTTCAATTATGTAAATGCAATACGTTTACTTTAAAAATAATCTTTTTGTACTTGATCATTAAAGCATATAAGTATACAAAATTACTTTTTATATTATATAAACACAATCAAAACTTTTATCAATTCAAATCAGGTAACATTTATGTAAAAAATACCCCTACACAAGCCAGCAATATGATATTTAACGTAACGCATACAATAAGTACCACAGACAGTACGGCCGACGGTTGAAGCGTAATATAAATATTTACCCCATCACAGTTTCCTTGGCGATTAAAAAATTTTTGCGAAACGAAATATGAGCTCATATATTAGAAGTAGATATACGAGGTACAGTTGGCATAAAGCCAGCACTGAAATGTAGATACTTCATTTGCTAACACAGTTTTGTATCACGTAAACATTTTTTTAAGTTTTTTTTTATATTCAGCTGGACTTTGAAATACGATGTCACTACAAAGGTTGTTTATATATGGTTTAGATGTTTGAAACATTTGTGTTTGTATTAATTTTACTATTTATTATATGAAATAAATTTGTAGAACCTTTTTATTTGTTTTTAATGTTTGTTTTCCAACGACATATCTTTAATAAGCCGGAGTTGAATTATATAAAATGTTGCTGTTAAGAAGGAACGTTTATTTATTGTTCTAAAGCAAAATAAAACTCTAATAATATTTTTATGAGAGTCATATTTTTTAACCTTATGATATTAATTAATAAATTATATATAAAAGGTGCGCAAATATTTCTCTTATAAAATTAACAAAATTTATTTAAAAGTAAAAAGTTTTATATAAATAAATATTTTTTATTCGTTACTTGTACAACATTATTAGGTATACAGGGTGACTGGTGAATTACTATCGATATTTGAGGATGTGATATTTGACGATCATATATGACGAAATAAAAATTAATATAACATAAATATTAATAAACTTCTAAGTAAACTTAACCAAAAGTTATGTAATTAATTACGCATCGTATGAACACCCTACAGATTAGGTATAAACGATAGAACTTCATATGTATAAATGTTCAAGTCCAGTAACAGAGTAAACTCAAACAAACAAAAAGGAATAACAAACAATTTATTCGAAATAAAACTGTATTGCCGAAATTCACTATCGTGTTCATATTTAGCTCTAACTGACCTTTTTCATAGTTTTTTTTTATTGCGATGACGGATAATAAGTAAAAAAAAATATATTATGTTACATGCGAAACCATAATTTCATTTACTTCTACGAGCAGTTGAAATTAACTTCAATATTTCTATCTACAAGCTGTCTTACTCACTTGATCGCTATGTATCTCCAGATAGCGAGGGATAACGTCAATAGTATTGACGCTGTATGTAAGATCTGTGTGAAGTGCATGTGGAATAACATATAGACAGCCCAGGAGTACGGACGCTCTTGTTGACCGGGAAACAACTGAAAATTGAGATTCATTAGCTGAACAAGTTCCAATAGAATCTCAAGCTATAACAATATTCATATAAAGACTACGAGTATTATAATTAATATCTTTTTATTAAAAAAACATAAGAATATAAAATTTTTATGCACTATTATCGTAAATAAATAGAATACAATCAATAAAAATATCATTTATTACAGCCACGTCCCAGAATAGTACGTTTGAACATAAACGAACTATGTTCAAGAAAAACACATGTCAACCAAACGTCTTGACCTTTTCGAAGTAGCACTAATTCAATGCGACGTTCTATAATAGTTCTTCAGTTTATTTTATTTGGATTACTTTTTCTATGACAATATTATAACTGAGATATAAGAAATAATTGAGTAAACTTGTTATTTAATATAAACTTACCAGGTATCTGTAAACAGCAAACGGCACATACTCCATCATGACGAACACATCAGCTACAGCAAGCCATTTCAAGAGACGATTGATGGGAGCAGCAGCGAGGTCCCGCCTCGTCAGAACAACTACGTTCAATGCATTGGCAAGACTACCAAATAAACATATCTGAAAGTCACAGTGGAAAAGGAAAATTATAATAGAACAATCACAAAGAATGTTTTAATGACCTTATTAAACAGAGGTTATTGACCTTTTCGATTTGAATACCTTTCATTTAATACTAAAATTTATTAAAAATAATTAATAAATAATTAATTTCTTCATAGGCTTCAATTATTCTTTGATTAATTTGACTTTAAGATAACAAAGAAGATATCACTTTGTAGACTTTATGTTGTTTCGATTTAATAACAACGAAATTTTGTATTTGAAGTTGTTTTTTTATGACAAGAAAGTATGTTATTTCAAAGAAATACAATGATCGCCTGTAAAAGTTTCTTTGGTTTTTGATGCTCAATGTTTGCTTAAAATGGATTTTTGCATAGAAATTTCTGTATTACACGTAATATAGTGTTACGGTAAGAATTTAATTCAGTAATATACTTACTAATAGACTTATATATCCGTGAATGCTGTTGTAAGCGAGAATTAAATCTCTAAATTCGCCGGAACAGTAATCAGAACGATCGCATTCCTTTACGAGTGATATGTTATATTTGTTCCTTAAATCTTCTAACGCTCTCAACCAATCGCCGATGTTAGTGCTTTGGTTGGTGCCTCTGTGTTTGAGAAGCGACACCAGTCTAGCGTCGTCGAAGAAGTTGAAAGTGTCATTTGAACCGATATTACTAGCATTGAATACATTCTGTGTGTCATCGCCCGCGATCATTGTGAACAGAATTCACCTTTGTTCATCACTTAGCAGACTATCATGTTACTATTGCTCTGATGTCAATCATATGAAACATCTATTCCATATTTCACACCCACGTCTATCTATAACAAATATATCAAATTATTTGTTATTATATATACATATATGACAATAGTGTCGGATTATTTATTTGTTCATTACTTTCAAAATATTTATATACTGTCTTTCTACTTTGGAAGATGGAAATAGTAATGACAGTGATATTGAATAAATATAGTAAAAAAATACTTTTACATAAAGGGATTCGTTATAATAATATGATATGAAATTTTAACGATATATTTTTTTATCGAAACAACATTGACGTGTTATTCTTACAGCGAGGTTTCTTAATTTCCATTAAAATATAGGGCATAGAAATCTAATACTTTCATAAATAAGTGCATTTATTTTGAGAAAACGTAAATATTGTTTTACAAAACACCACACTGGTGTTCTGACAAGTTAAATGTTATGATACCTGAGTGTTTTAGTGTCAGGTTACAAAGGCGTTTATAAATATAACAGTCACAGTACATCTGTGTCAAACATACATCACATATCAGTGGGATGAATTCAAATGATTTGTTGTATTAAATCACACTGAACTAAATAGTATTAATAATAAAACATGAAGATTTTTTATCATTTTTAGTTTGGTAATTTTCATACTATTTCTGTTATATTTTGTTAATGTAATTGTATTTTAAAATGATAAACCGTCGTTCAATAAAATTTATACAATATAAAAATACGTAAAGAGAGGATATGTTCTTGTTTACACAAAAAAACTTCGAATGAACATTATTTAAATTATGTTTATTTCTATATATGACTCTGATATAACGCAGTCATGAACTTAATTTCAGCTAAATATAACTGACATATAATATCAGTTGATCATACCAATACGAGCGATAAGAGATAAGAATAGCAATTAAAAGCGTAGCCTTATTGGAAACGTATGATACTGGAAAGAGAATACATTATGTTGATACTGGATGTTTGATTTAATCCTTGTTATTGCACACACCAATTCCAATTTCAAATACACAATATCTGCTATACAACCTCTTTCCTTTTAATTCGAATAGAATACAATTAAAATATACTTTAGCGATGATTTCGAATGTCATCTAACTTAAACATTTTTTTCCCACCTGAAATAGACTCAGTTGTATAGTTTACAGAACATAACAGATCCAACGAAAATCATGGATGTGTATATTTCACTGATTCTGTTTAAATATAACGTGATAAGTGATTATCTATTGAAAATTACCACAACTTTAGTACGATACTAATAAAATTTATAAGTATTGTATAAATAAATTCCTATTACTTTTAGAAACACGAAAATAACATCATAAAATTGTAAACATGTTGAGTTTCATACCATCCGCTTTTTATATATCCACCAATTAATATAAATACAAATTTAAATCTTTGAGATATTTACTTTGTACGTTATTAAATAAAACAGCTTGAGTGAACTTGACAAGTTTCACAAAAAAAAATATTTCGGCAGAATAGACTAAATACGTGACAGCTTAACCTCAATCCAATAAAAAAAACAGAAATATTTGACAAACGAATTATTATGTAATACCAATATTCTTGTGTGTGGACAAGCTAATGGAAATGTTAACTCGCTAACTTTTCTCAATAAGTGAAACCTGCTCGAGGCTTATAATAACAGATTGCATTGTACGTAGTTGAAGAAAATTATATGAACTCGTGTATGTAGTACTGTAGTATTTTGTAATTACTAACATTTATAATATTAGAAATAATTCAATTCATTTTGTTTTTATATACAAAAGAAAATCGTATGTATTAGTTACACTACTATTTATAATTCAATAACATTTGCACGAATGGGGCTAAAAATGATGGGGAGGTGGCCTTAAACCAGGATTTTATCTCATTTGATCAAGAGAGAAGAAAAATATGAATGAAATTCAAAATTTGCTTATTTACAGCCTATAAACGGAACAGAATTCACCCGGTCAGCTACACATTTCTAATTCTGAAAATGACGCGGATGAAGTCGCGGGAAAAAACTAGTTGCTCATATTGAAAACACTTCAACCTTGAAACATTTATACATTATAAATATTATAAGTAAACTAAAAATACACATTTTACCAACTGTCCGTAAAAATCTTAATCAACGTAGCACGATTGATCTGCTGGAAATAGGTTTGTAATACTAAGTCCAAAAAAGATTTCTGTCACTTTATTTTTTGTAAATATAATTACACTTTCAGCGTTTTCTATTTCTTAGTTATACAAAAATGTTATACAAAAATGTATTTGTTCATTAGTAAGACACATATATTTAAACACACTCGAGTAATTAAAACTTAACCCAGTTCTTCAAATCATGCAGTCTGATAAGAATAGATTAATATTATATTTAAAACAACTGAAAGGGTTCAAGAAAGTTTAAAGATGTAAAAATTTATAAAACTATAATAGATCTAAGACTTTCGTGAGTATTTCTCAAAATTAAACTAATATTTACGTACCTATTTACTACGGGTTTTTTTTATTATTTTAACTACTTACATCCAGCGCTTTTCATCCCGTTTCGTCATTTAAATGAATTTTTTCTTATCTCTTATGCCCGTGATAACAATTGTTGCAAAGTAACTGAAACGTCGGGAGTTTGTATTTAAAATGAGACCTCTTGGCATCCAATGGATTGATCGTGCCGGGTCCATCGCGTTGCATGGAGAGGAGCTTCAACAGTGCCTGGGACTTGCGACCCAGGTGTAGATTTAAGGGGTCCCTATCTAACGCGCGTTAAATGCTCAAATCCACTGTCCAAGCTCCTCTCTCTACCTAACCAATTTTGAAAAGAACGTACTAGAGCTGCCTTTGAAGTACGTTCCAAGAATATATTAGTGTGAGTTCTGGACAGGCTTCTATAAATCTCGCTCCCACTTCTACCACGTACAAAACCACGACTTTTGTTGGTTTGCGAGCTCGTAATATTTATTTACCTTGATGGTATGGTCTTTGGGGGTGTTTGTTTCCAAAGGAACCGTAAGCTCTATCATCACAATGAGCTTCAAAATTCACGAACACTTAAATATATCTGGTCTGGAGACCGATGTACAAATACCCTCGGGGATTTGGTATTGTTTTTCATTCGTGTAAAATATGCTTAGCAATGCGAAAATATTGGTTTTATTTATTTCACCGTTGAAGAACGTCTACTAGAAATAACGGACAATCAAGTGATCGAATTACAATGTTCTTTAATGAATATTATCTCCAATTGTATCTACATAAAAATTGTGCTTTAACGAAAAATATATCATGACTTATATGATAAATTTTTTTGAGATTGTTTAAATCAATAGAATCTCAAAATTGTTATTCCAAAACGACACTTTCTCTCTCTCCTAGTTAGTGGCGTTTACGTCACTTTAATCTGAATCATCTTTGATAAGTACATATATAAAATATTTATAATAATGCAGTACAGCTACAGTTTTAAAATATGTTGTGTTATTAAATAAACATATAAAAATACAATGTAACTTTTGTTTGTATAATGAGATCTAAGATTTTCGAGAGTTATCATTTATATGAAACCAATATATTCGGATAAACTATTGGATTTTTTATTTAGAATATAAACTACATGCATACTACCGACGTTTATAGTAGTTTATAGTCAAAAATAAAATATCGAGTAGTAGGTCCGAAAATACGAGTATTAGTTCATTAAAACTTTTGTTTGTATTTTACAACTAGACTATAACAATTTAAAACAAAAATATGGTGGAATCTGATTCTATTATAATTTATTTACTAATCAGAAAAACTTACCTAGTAAATTAAAAAGAAAACAATAGTCGAGATGACAACTTGCCTAGCAAATAAATGGTGTCGTAGTATATAATAAATTAATTTTATAACAAGGACTACATTTAATGGAAAACACTTCTTGATATTAACAGAGAAATAGAAAGAAAATGTAATGCTTCGAGAAAATGCCCGATGAAACGAATAAAACTAAATCTGGTCACCTTTCTTATAAATTATACTTTAGACACTGCCATTTTAACTACTTTTCGATTTAAGATATTTTTTTTATTTTATATTTACACTCGTCATTACTAAATAGCTTTTTAACAAAAATTTAAATATTTGTAGCAAAACATATTTCATACATTTGATGCTGAAAAAAGCTGAATCAGAGCATGAAAGTCCAATGAAAATCCGTTCTGAAGGTGAACCCAGACAAGAACAATTGTGCAAAGACAAAAATAGTATTATAATTGAACAAATACATTTATATTCCAAATTTGGCTGAAAAAGTAATTTCTAATGGAAAAAAATAATAATCATATTATAAGTAGCAAAAAGACGAACGAACTAAAACAGACAATGAAACAAAAAGATTTATGGGAAAACTCTTTGCTCTCTTCGAAACTGTTTGAAAAACGATTAAAAGAATTAAGAACCTTAGAAGCCACACATCGGCAGAAAACGCTTTCTTTAGTAAAAAATAAATTACAAAACAATAAAAATCTAGCCAATACTATAAAAAAATACGGGTTTTTGTTAGAAATGATCGAGACATACGGTTTAAGAGAAATAATTATTTCAAAGGAACTCCTTCACAAGAAATATAAAATAATGAAGATGTTTTATTAGATTACTTACTAACATAATCGCTTCTAAATGAATGAAGTTGCTAATAGACGGATGAAGCGAACTCTTGATAAAACATACATAACACGATTAACATCTTACGTTAGAAAAATATAAATATTATATTATATTGCCTGTTAATCGACATGAATTAATTAATAGGTTATTTGAGACACAATGCATTATATGTACTTATTATCCAAATAGTAAATGAAAAATAAAAAAGAGACAGAAAAATCAATTACAAAATACATAGATATTATTAAATTTTTACTTTTTATTTTGTTTAAATAAATAACATCTGT